TTAAGCTGTGAAAACAGAAAAACCCCATCTGAAAAATTAGGAGTGGCAAAATCTACAGTTTAGTACATCCTGAGAAAGAAAGAAAGAAAGAACTGGTGAACTCAGCAATGCAAAAAGACCTGGACGATCATGGAAGACGACAGTGGTGGATGATCACAGAATAATTTCCATGGTGATGAGAAATTGCTTCACAACAGCTGACCAAGTGAACTACACTTTCCAGGAGGTAGGTGTATCGATATGTCGAAAAAGAGAAGAGAAGAAGATAAAGAGAAGACTGCATGAAAGTAAATACAGAGGGTTCACTGCAAGGTACAAGCCACTCATGAGCCTCAAGAATAGAAAGGCTAGATTGGATTTTAAACCATCTAAAAAGAAGCCAGCACAGTTCTGGGAAAAACCTTCTTTGGGCAGATGAAACCAAGATCAACCTCTACCAGAACCCCGTGTTTGCATGGGTTCTCTCCGGGTACTCCAGCTTTCTCCACAGTCCAAAGACATGGGGTTAGGTTAATTGGTAATTCTAAATTGCCCACACGTGTGAATGTGAACATCTGTAAAACACAGCAGAGGCAGTGAGATGGCGTCAGCTGCCAGTGGCACTGGGACACCAGTGTTTATTGATGATGTGACACAGAATGAATTCGGCGGTGTTCAGAGATATACTGTCTGACATTTTATAATACAGATGGACAATGACCTAAAACATTCAGCCAAAAGCAAGAAAGTAGAATATTCTTGAATGACCAAATCAGTCACCCGATCTTGACCCAACTGAGCATTTCACTTGTTGAAGACTAAACTTCGGACAGAAAGGCCCACAAACAAAAAGTACCTGAAAGCTGCTGCAGAAAAGGCCTGGCCAAGCATTAAAAAGGAGGAAACCCAGCATCTGGTGATGTCCATGAGGTCAAGACTTCAGGCTGTCGTTGCCAGCAGAGGGTGTTGGAAATGAACATTTTATTTTCAGTTATGTAATTTATCTAGTTACTTTTGAGTCCGTGAAGTGAAGAGAATGTGTTAAAAATAATTTCGTTCCTCACATTTTATGAAATCTGTTTGTTCAGCCCACTGAATCAAAGCTGCACTTCAACTGCATCTGAGCAGTTTCATTTAAAATTCATTGTTGTGATGTGCAGAACCAAAATCTGAGAAAAAAAGTTCTCTCAGCCCAAGTATTTGTCAGCCTAACTGTATATAATAATCAAATGTTTAAATAAATATTTATTTTAAAATAAAAAGAATAATAATTTACAGTGCATTAAAGTAGTAAAAGACCAAATAATCCATGTAATAGCACCTTGTGTAGCAGCAATTACAATAACTAAGATCTATACTACCAAAAAAAAACAAAATTTTGACTATATAAAAATGTGTATAGATATAAATAAATCTATATAAGAACTGTAATGTATAATATTACTGCAGTACACCAAACCTGTCTCTTCATAACTCCTCCCACTCAATCAGTAGTTGAGTGACTACACCTGGCATACAGGTGCATCTTAGGCCCCTGAAGGTTCTCATCTATATCACACATTATGATGTCATCTTATGCAACCACCTAAATATTGAATACAGTGACAACCTGGCCTGTGCAGGGGACCCAGACTTCTATACAGTCACTCCCATTTTCCATCTTTATTTAAATATAAAATCCATTTTTCCTTCTCAGTTTGGTGACACTCATGTGACCAACAGACCAAACAGAGCTGTAGCAGCTTTTAAGATATTTAAATGTTAATAAATATTTGAGCAAACTGTCAACACATGAAGAAAACATTTTAAATTTAGTTCATTTTTATTTATATTTTTTTTCCAAATCTGAACACAGGCAGTACAAAGCTTCTGTCATTTTTTTCCTTCCCCTTTTCAGAGGAAATGAGTTGTACAGTTAGTGCATTCGATCCTAAACTGATGAAAAAATAGATCTAAGAAGAAGAAGTGCTGCTACATAAGGAGATGATGAGGTAAATCTGTCCAGGAAGAAGAAACCAACAGATGAACTGATGCAGTGAGAGAAACGAACAAACAAACAGTCCACACGTTATTAATATTATTATCATTATGTACACGTCAGATGCATAGAATACTTTCAAATCCTTTTTTTCTTCTTTTTTTCCCCTTTTTTACATAAATACCTACATTTTTCCCCACAAAGACAAAAACTACCATTAGAATGAAAAGCAAAACAAACTGCTCCGGGATCAGCTGCTTCCTGCGCCGCCGCTCTGGAAAGCTGCCAAAATGTTCCTGCAGGAGTTTGAATCAAACTTTATTTTTCTCATTGTCACCACATCTCTTTAAAATGAGCCTGACATATTTCAAACACGCACCACCAAACATGTTTATGACCTCGTTTGAGTCCTGCTGCCACAAAAACTCACAAAATGTAGATTAATCCTGAACAAGTGCTTCGCTTTTTGGGTAACTACTTCCTGTTTTTGTTTTTTAAATAAAACTCATTTCCAAGTTTCATTGCTTTATTTTTGTTTTTTTGTTGTTGTTGTTGTTTAGTTTTGGGGGGGATTAATAACTTGACTTATAACAGAGAAGACTTTAGATCTTAGTCAACATAATGAAATGGATTAATCCACCGCTGAAAATAGTCCTTTTGATAATTTCACTATTTCTTGTCTTTTTTTAAATTAAAAAAGAAGACAAGAAATAAATATGTCTTCACACTGTTATTATCTTAGATTCTTATATACCTAAAATTTTATGTTTTCAATTGACTTTTCCCAACATGAAGACCTAAAAGTGCAGGAATAAAACCTTGTTAAGTTTTGTTTACAGATTTCACACCAGTTAAGTTCATGAATAAATATTTTTTGTGTAACTAAACACCCAAAAATAAGAGTCTGAGTCGTTTTTCCAAATCTGGATTAATCCACTGCTGAAAATAGTCCCTAAGAATTTACCTTTTCTGCCTGAGGAATTTGCTTTTATAACAATTTTTAGATTGTTTTCATCTAAAGATTTAAAAGCTACTGAGGAAAAAAATGTATTTTAATCTTCAGTTGACATTTACATTTTTTTTCACAACAGAGTAGAAAGAAAAGTTTGTGGAGTAATATCTAAATGTTTGAATTGGTTTGATAAACCCAGTCAAATTCAGACTCATTCAATCAAACAAAGGTTACCCATCAGTGTGCGTGACCTCCAACTCGTTAATGAGTGTTTGTGTCATGTTGTCAAAGGCTCAGGATAAACTCGGAGCTCAAGCTGATCAGATTTGTTGACAATAAGAAAAACATTTAATATTTGCAGATGTTTAAACTCTGCTCAGGTTTTCCTTCAGGGGGTTACTATAAAAACAGGAGACAACGGTTCGTCCAGCAGGACGTTAGCCTCAGTCTGTGATTACACCCCGTCTGCCGATGCTGGGCACGTCTGTTAAACTTCATCTGCAGACACCTGAACGCCTCTCTGCAGACTAAGTTTGTTATCTTATCACAAAGATAAAAACCAGGGGTGATGATGAAATGTAAAAATTTTAATGTGTCTTACTTATTTTTATCCCCATAGCACAAAGAAGCCAAAAACGCCATCTTTTGATGACCCAGATTTACGTCTGAGGGTGTTTCCAGAATCCTCTGAGACTCTCATTTTAAAGGTCTTTTCCATGAGAACATGCGGAATTCGTTTTTGAAAACTGATTTTTAATGACTGACCCGTTTTGGGTGTAAATGTGTGACCTTTTTTGGCTCTCAGCCCCGAGTTAAAGTCTGGAATGTAAAGACTGACATAAACCCCTTTTACATGGTATCCCTGCCCTCGTCATCATGAACCCCCTCCTGTCTGCCTCCTGGACAAACCTCGTCTCTCTGCTTTGCCCTCGTTCAGTTTGGTGGATTTCCTCCACCTGAGCAAGCGGCTGCCTTCTGTCGTAGACATACACTCAGAAGCCTTCATCCCGGCAGCGTCTTCTCTCACGTTAGTCTCTTTTTCTTTTTTTAATTTCAGGACGGTGGCTTCGTTTGGCACTGTCAAGTGTTCAGTCAGCAGCTGAGACCACATTTCTACTTTTTTAGTTTTGCTTCTCAGAAACATCAAAGTTCAACTCCGAAAGGAAAAATGTCCGGGCGCCATCCAGGGAAGTCCGTGAGTCCTTGGAAAGGTAAGCTGTCAGTTTCTGTGTGTGTGTGTGTGTGTGTGTGTGT